AGATAGGTTTGCCAAAAGAATCAGGTTCAACTAAGAAAATATGTACACTGCCTTGACTCAGTAAACTCATAGTCACTATGGTTCATCTTCTTCATATTTACTTTTGCCCATATTAGAAAACAATTAGCTTACTAAACAAATTTGAGTATTTGGGAAGAAAAAATCTACTTTGAGTCTCTCTCATTTGACTAAGAATTACATGATATTTGATAAGCTTGTTTAAAAATGGACATATCCAAATATTATTGTAAACATCCATTGATTTGTTTTACCTGCAATATAAGTATTTTACTTAGTTGGCTTACATAGTAGCTAATAATATTTGTTAATGTAATTTAACTGCTGTGAACCTTTACTGAACAAATATTGAAATTTATACAAGTCAAAGAAAGAGAATCTCTAATGACTTTTGTAAAAGCTTCCATTTAATAGTTAAGGAGAAAAGTTTATATGACATACCAGATGCAATTAACAGTAGATTTTACATTTAATAAAAAGAAAGAAGCATATGTATTTGCTTTATTCATTCCATCATAATTTGCATTAGAGCTGTGGGTGTTTAATGAGCAAATTCCAGCTAAAATGCTATATTGATTTTCTAAGTGAACTTTGTAATAGCTATCTACCTTACAAAAGCTCTCTGTTTACAATTGTTTTCTTTACTAAAAACTAAAAATGTTTTAGAATTGATGAGTTTAGCATAATGATTCTTTTAAAATAAAGAGCTCTTTTAGAGTATGCAGGGGTTTTAGTTACAAGGAGGAAGATGTTATTAAATTATTCCAAAGCAAATAAAGTTTATGCAACGAAATAGTAATGTCATATTTGTCTATATGACAATGTTTGCAAGTATTGGAGAATAATGGTTTTTTTCTTAATTTAGCACTATGGGATTTAAATATTTTAACTCTTAAATGTCATGTATATGAATTAGTAAATGAGACAATTCATTTTAGTTAAATACTTGAATATTTATACTTCATTTTTATGTGTCATTTTCTTGCTTGAAACCTGAGTTCTACAAGAATTTGTGTTTCTTCTTGGTCAGGCCTCAAGATAAACAGGATAGGGTTGGTTGGTGCGCCATTGGAAAGTCTCCAAGAAAAACCTCGTGGTGTCGACCAGAGCAGTTGGTGACTAAGTAGCTGGTTGACTTTTTTCATTGGATCAAGCATCAAGTCAGTGTGCCAGTACAGGGCTAGTATTTTGCTGGATATGCCATAACTTGAATGGGACTCAGGAGCCTAACTTGTTACTCTCAATTAATTTTTGCCTGCCATTTTTAAGAAGCATAGGGATGATAATATGTATTTTCTTTACTTTTTTTAATATGGAGGATTTTTATGTCACTTTCTCATAGGCTTTTAATTAGACAGCTTATACTTCACATACTTTCCTAAATATGAGACAAAATATTCTGTTTTTATTATGCATTGCAACCCAAAGGTCTATGTATTTCGGTGGTTTATTTGAAGAATTCGGTGATCCCTATGGCCCTGAACTTTTACTTGTGACTCATCCATGGCTTAGTCTGAATGGTGGACGTTATTGTTAACAATATCATACTTCCCACATACTACCCACAACTGTGTAACTGTTGTAGTATTCCATATAATATTAAAAAGAGGAATTTGTAAAATATTAAAAAGAGTCACAATTGTATAGGCATTGGATAACAGAATCGTTTAACCTAAACTCAGCAGAAGCTTTGGCTGGTAAAGGAATCAGGTAAGTTAGTCCTCTGTAGACCATTAAAATGAGTTAGATGAGGACTGTAAGTATTTTTTAAATTAGTAATTTCTTGTGGCCAATGTTAGTATTGCTACATTAAAATGCCATGTAGGTAAGTATCTTTTTTTCTTTTTTTAAACTTAGATTACCATGTAGGCATCTGACGTGATTTTCTACACTCTCCCTGATCTGTTTTAATGTGAAGAAATTAACTTGCACTATTACTTTTAAGAAACAGAAGCAAAACCCAAACACCTGTAATTGATATGGAACTACTGTAATTTTTTTTTAAATGTAGTTAGTGGATCTGGTCATTGGGATGTTTACTCCAAAGCCTCAGTTTAGTGTAAGGATAAGAAAATAACAAGAAAGAGTTGCTCAATTTAAGTCACTTTTCCATAGCCAGCAGTTAAAAGACAGTATTTTGTAATGGACCTTTGGGTGGCAGAAGGGTTCACTGTTCAAGGCAATTAGTCTCTGTGCTGGTATCAGAAATGGTAATATTTGAGATAAGCATGACTTTTAAGTAACTTGAAAAATCTCTTTTTCGGAATGTTTTCATACTGTTATATATACACGTTACTTTGGTTTAAGGACGAATGAGCAATAACCTGTTTTTAAAAAGCCCGTATAGTCATTACTACCACTGGTTATAGTTACAGAGAGAGGGAATTAGATGTACCAAAACACACTACTTGTATGTTCTGGATCCACTGTAGCAAATTGTTGTTTTCCATGCTGAGGTGGGGATGTTATAAAGTCTGACGAAAGAAGGGAGGCACACAGAGACCAGAATGAAGTTAACCAATCTGGAAACTAGTTAACCCCAGAACAGTAATAAGTGCCAAATTGTTAGTTACTTTAGGCAGCATTCTATTCATCCTAGCAATTGTTTTCATTATGAAAATTGCATAGTTCCACTTGCAACTTTATGGAAAGGATTCTCTGTGCAGCGTCTCTGGCGTGATGCTAGATAAACGGACATAATTTACTGGAAAAAATGATAGTAAACAAATATATTCGGGTACAGATAGGTAATAATTACCATACAGAATTAATCTGCTTGTGTATTGCAGATCCAGCTGGGACATAGCACTTGCATTGTGGTTTACCCAGGCAGTTAATGCTGGGGCACTAGGTTCTTTGCCATCATAGATCTCAGCAACGTAAGTGGAAGTCTGGTGAGCTGAAATGACAGCCTGCCTCATACAATTTGTTCTTGTTCTTGCTGAGCCACCTACCTTTGCAGACGTTAGACTCATCCTCTGCACGTGCTGCAAACTTACTGCTGACTGCCAGTCCGCATGCATGCAGTTTTGCAGCTGGTTTACTCATGCCTTAGTATTTCCATTCCATATCAACCAAAGCTTTCTTGTTGCAAAGAGGGGAAATAGATCTTAAAGAAAAAATACACTATTCTTGTGGAACAAGTAAATACTTAAATAGAAGATAATTAAATCAGTGTTCGTTAAATTTTGTGTAAATTTCTTTTTTTGTTGTTTTGGTTTTTTTTTGTTGGGATGCAACTTGTTACAGCTCTGGCCTCATGACTAGGCTTGCAGCTCCTGTGCAGATTTTTTGTAAGAGGTTGGACTGCACTTCCAGAAGTAACATTTAGCCTTTCCCTGTCTTCTTTTGTCCAGTCTGTTGTCATTGTGCAACCTTTTGCTAGACCTGCAAAAATTGCTTCATTATTTCTCAGTAACACTGTTGTCCCCAGCTTGAGGACAAGAGAATTTCTTTCCTACCTTGAACATCTTCCTAATTAATTTCTCCAGACACTTTTTCTGTTCATCTTCTCACTTGTCTTACATCCCTGGTTATCTGAGCTGTTTGTGAACTGTATGGAAACATGCTACTTTCGTATTTCAGTTGGTTGGGGAATTTGGGGGGTTTTTTTGGTACTGATAAAGTATATTCTGTGCCAGCAATATAGCTGCTACCAAAATGTTCCTATTGTTCTGTTCTGTGAAGAACCATAAAGTGTTTCATGTTATATCACACTATGAAGCTTTTGTACAATAGTGTACAAAGGTGAAGTAAAAGTCAACTTAACGTATAAAGGCAACAAAGTTGATCTCAGTTGAGGTAAGAATGGCGGGATAAAGCTCTAGGCTAAAGTGAAGGGGAAGGAAGCCTTTCTTTGAGATCTTAATGACTGAAGCAGTGGTTCAGAGGAACACAGAGTTCTGAAGTGGGTAAGGAAGCCCACCAGCATTGGCTTAATATAGAAGGTTCTAGAGAAATAAATGCCAAAATTTGAAAGATAGTGTAGCATGGTGTTAGGAGACTTTGGTTAAACAACAGCTAGGCAGACTAAAAGGAGAACATGGAGAATTCTGGAACCTACAGACCTCAGCTGAGTTTTTTGGAGGTGCCTGTGGCAATCAGAGAGGATATCCTCTGTCTTGAAGTGACAGCGGTCCTGCTATGGCATCCTGAAAGTCCCTAGACATTTCAACTGCGGGGTTTTATGATGACTGTGAGGAGAGATTTGCAGTATTGCAGAGGGAAATGAAGAAAGTATGAATAAAGATTTTAGTGGAGGCAGGGTGGAGGTAAGGATTCTGGCAGTGTGCCAGAGATGGTGTTAGACATACTGACAGGGGAGAGACAGGAAGAAAATGTAAGCTTAGGATGAGGAGTGACTTGAAGGTGTTAGTTCGCTCCCAAGGATAGACAGTAAATCTTAGTTTATTGGCACCTAATGCTCCAAGGTCCACGTATGCCATAACAGATAATATAATAGTATATTACACAATAAAGTAAAGGCTTGGCAGAGAAGGAGAGATGCCAGCTGTGCCACTCTTGTGATACCAGAAACAGACTATGAAAATATTAGAATTTTTTATATTTAATATCAGAGTGCCACCCTGATAGGAAGCAGCGTGATGGTAGTAGTTTTAATCGATCATTACTTTTAACGCCATGTCCTGAAGAAACCTACTCCTGCCTTATATGATTCTGAGCTTTAAGAATTACTTTGCCATTAAGCAAGTATTCAGAATGCAAAGCAAATAACTTCCCTTACCCTGTTTGATTATATAGGGGTGAATTTTAAAACACATAGCTTTATTTCATTCCTTAAAGTGTTCATTTTAGCAATTAACAGCAATTTAGTGTTGTATCTGAAGAGTAATATACACCTTATCCAGAGTAATCCAAGGTCAGTGGAGAAATCTTGATTTTAGGAGATGCTGGCCAAAGGCCCATGTAAGTGCATTTATCCTACCAAACTTGTTTGTTAAATACACTGGTTACTTTTGCAGGTCTGGTGGAAGAAGTTTATTCTGCTCAACGGGAACGTGATGAGGCTGTCATGGCAAGGCTTAGGTTAGCCAATGAAGAGAGAGACGAGGCATTTCTACGACTCCAGCGTTTAGAAGAGTCTCTCAAAGAGTAAGTATACATTTCCTGCCCTGTGCAAAAGAGTGGTTTTGTCAGTCTGTGACTGCTCAACAGTGGCTATATAGGAAATTTTAGCACAATCTTCTCTACAATGAGATACTAGGGTGGTGCTAGTCTTACTGTGCTACTGGTTAATTTGTTAGCCATCCTGTAAGACTGTATTTTTCTCTGGAGACTGAGAGCAAGGTGAATAATTTTGATCACGAAAATTAAAAATATAATAAAAAGCTTTAGTATTGATTTATTCAGGGATAAATAAGACAAATGTGACATTTTATAGGGATCTTTTGACATGGAGTACCAGAATGTCAGTCAGAAGTTGCAATATATAGGAAATCAATAAAGCCTTTAAGCCCACTAAACATTTCTTTCAGCAAAATGTCTACTAATGATGTGGGTGACATAGTAAAACTATATGGGGTTTTTCTTATCTTTAGGGTAGGAGCAGTTTGTAGGGCAATAAGAGTGTTATTAATACTTCATAGAGCTTTATGTATGCCATGTTAACACAACAGAAATAGGCAATCTTATGTTAAACAAAACTGTTAAATCAGGAGAGGAAAATCAAGAACAGTTTATTTTCTGACTTCGAGATATAGGCAGCTTTGAAGCTACAATTTGCCTCTCCCTGTAATCCTTCTCCATCTAAGTTGTGATCATCTTGGTTACCATCTATGGTAGTCTCCCAAAGAGTAGTCCCCCAAAGTCTAGAGTGGCTGAGAAATTTCTCCTGGTTTTCTGCCAAGAGAAAGCCAAAGCAAACAGTGAAGTTTTTCATGATAGAAGACTGAATAGGTGCAGTTGTTAGTTAACTAAATGGCAGGCAATTATGTTTTAAATAATTGATTCTACTAAGAGCACATTTTCCTCTTTATGGCAGTGTACCAATCGTCTTCTTTTTAGTATTTTCATAGGGAAGGCCAGAGAATGTTATCTGAATAAATTTCAATAATCTGCCCATAGTTTGTGCACTGTTACTCTCTGGAATTTCCAAGTTGCTAGAGTTTGTCACAACCTGTAAGTATGGCTCAACAGCAGGAGAGTCCATTCCCATGAGAATTAGTGCACAGTTTGTTAAATGTCTGTACAGAACCCATTGTAGGTGTACTTGTATCTGAAATCTTGCTTTGGGCAACAGTATTTGAGGATTACAAGTGTGCTTTAAATTCCCATAAGAGGCACCATAACTGTGAGCCTTATTCAGGTCTTTCCAATTTCTTCTGTCACTCTTCTAATTTCATATGTTACAAGAGTAAAGAAAGTAAGAAAGTTTTGTATGGCCCCAAACATCAAATAAACCTCACTTGTTTTCCCTTCAACCCCTTCTGTCTGCTTCACTCATGTACTGGAACACCCATTCACTTCTAAGCAGAAGGATGAGAAAAGAGAAGAAACTCCATTTCTTGGAGAACATGCATACTACCTTCCCCAAAAGAATATCATTGCAGAAGGCACTGGATACACTCATAATGACAAAAAAGGTACTTGCTCCAGGGAGAGGGTCAATAACTCCCTTGGCTGATAGCTTGGAGCCAAGCTATTACACCTTGTTGTCATTTAGAGAATTTACATTGTTGTTGCTGTCATCCACTTGGGTGCTCTTTCTGATGCTTTATAGAAAGGCCTCATACCGTAATGCCATTCTCAGTCTTGGAACTGGCATAGGAGACTTCTCTGTGGGAACACCAACCCAATACAGATCAAAATTGTGATGGGCTAGCCAGCTACTGTTGGTTCAATACCTGATACACATTCCTCTTTGCATAAACCAGTGAGCCATTGTCTGTAGCTACTATTTCTTCCTGTATATTCTGCAAGGGTGCAGGTCAGGCTTCTGTGTGATATTTACTGTCATAACAGCCAACAGCAGGACGCAAGACTTAGGGACAAAACTATTTTAATCCAAAAGAATTGTCCTTGCCAGGCTGTATATGTACTGTAAGATCATATTTTACAGTATTTTCCAGGTTCTCCTGTTCTGCATTACAGAGGCTGATTGTGGCAATGACAACTCAATGGGAAGAGTCATACGCAAGTCTTTTCATGTCCTGATTGCTCTGTGACCTGTCACTGGAGGCATCCTGGACATGAACAAAATCCTTAGGCAGATCCCAAACAGGTTTATGCCTCCCATACGGCACAAAGATGTCGCTAAAGGGTACTGAAAAATGTTACATGCTTTTACTTTCATTGATAGTTTCAGTGTCAGTCACCAGAGCAGTAAAAGAAAAATCCTAATGGACAAAAGCCACAAAGGCAGAGAGCTCAAAAGCTTCATTTGTTCCCACTGTAAAGGTTGTTAATCATCCATGCAGTGAGTACTTAATGATAATGTGCAATCCCCTGAAAAGGAGAAAAACTCATTCTTTATGTTCAAGTAGTCATCATGTTCACTGTATCAGATGTCTTAATATGCCTCTCTCCTTACCTCGCCACCCACTCAGCCAAACTGCAAGTTTGATAGGAATGTCTTAAGCCATGTCAGACAGTGTAAGAAACTTCAAAGACGTCTTGGTCCTTTCCACCAGTTTGTATTCACTGTTACCTCAGCCCACAGTGATTGCATCCATTTGTGTAACCTAACCAAGGTCAAGCTGACCACAGCTCTTCCCTGACCCATATCAGTCCTCTATGTGACAGCACCTTCTAGATAATGTGGTACTTCTTCCAAAAAGAGCAATGGTATGGTACAGTGAAACATTTCCTCTTGTGATTATTGTTTGGGGAGGTTTGTCTTCTTTTTTTTTTTTTTTTGAAGAAAGTTCTTCGCTGATTTTGAAATCTTCAGGCATTACAGAACCAAGAAGGCAGGATTGCCTCTGTCACGCTGTTGCTTTTCTTCTGGTCCACTTATTCTAAGCTTACAGGTTGCTCATTCATGCAGCCGTACACCCTGCAAACAAGAAGAGGTTGAGTGAAGCCAAGATTCCTGCTGGAACACCAACCGGGCTCCAGCACTTTTCAGAACACTGGGCATCTTTACTAACTGTGGTAACATCTCAGCTGAGGTGACAAGACATGCATTTCTGTATCTGCCTGGATGTCTGTCATTTTGCAATGGGAGGAGCAAGCCAAAGCTGTAACTGAGAAGAGTCAAGTTGAGGTGTGGCATTCTCAGAAACAGTCTCAACCATTTTCTCAACCTCTTTATTCTAAGTAGTTTATTACTGTGGCTGAATGGAAATTTTTTGAGAGTTCACCTCACCACTCCACTAGTCCTTTGGAAGGAGCAGAGAAGATGGGGTGAGTGATGAGGGACTTGGTTTGTTTTATTTAATTCTGGAGTTTCTTCTGTGATCGTGGAACTTTTCTAGCTACCACCCTTAATATTTTCTTCTTGATGCTGATTGTTCAAAAGGTCAAGTTCTCTGTCTCAGATGTGGAGTGCATAGAGGTTTGGCTTTTTTTAAAGAACATTGGCTACTTGTACCACACTCATCAAGTTTTAGAGCATAGGTCAGTCCTTCCATCTGCTTTGGACTTATTCCAATCAAACATCTCTACAAGAGGGCAATATTGAGCAGTCAGACAACCTTTATCAAATGCTTTAATGCTTTCTTTAAATTAGCAGCTGGAGCAATTCTGTTGTCATTAAACGGTAACAACCAAAATTCTTTCAGTCCTCTTGGCCCTAGGGATTACATTAGCAGAATGTGTGTAGAAATGGGAGGAAGAGGAATCCTTGGTTACTGCTGTTTAAAATCATGGGCGATCAAAGGGTCACTTACTTCCTGTGCACAGCAGAGCAAATACACAGCTCTGGATGCTGCTTTTCAAAAAATACTGTCACTTGAGGTGTATGTGTGCCTACGGAAAGATCCCTTGTGGCAGCAGTATGCTGAAGGGCTACACTTATACTAGAAGGCCCTGTTCTTTTTCCCACTCCTGTTTCTCCCTGAGGTGTCTTGCTTGCCCAGCCTGTTGGTCGTCTGGGTGATTTTGTTGACCCACACTTTCAGCACGATAGAAGTCCTCTGGAGAAGCTGGGTCAGTACTGCCAATTTACTTTGACAAATACCGTTCCTTTCATTGTGAATACAAACTAGCTGGAGATCCATTTTTAAGTCCCACATGAAGTGGCACTTAGAGCAATGTAAAAGTCTAAAGCAGGAGCTCTACAAGGGGCCAAGTCAAGGAGCCAATTCTGAGAATTTGACTTAAAATATGTTTGTTATTTTATGATTTGTGTTACTTTATGGATACAAGTCCAACCCAGCAAAGGTTAGCTTTTACTGTTTTGTTTAGTTCTGATGCTGACTGTGTATCTTGGAGTAATTACTGCTTGTGAATTCCACATAAATATACCAGCTGCTGTATGCTGTTAGTACATTCTGAATTATTTATTTGTTATTTCAAGAATTAATTTCTGTACTGGTTGATTTACTATGCCTTATGTATTGTTATCTGGTAAAACTAATAGTTTAATGCAAAAGGTGCTAGTGTGCTGTCAAGTGCTCTGTGATGTTTGCTAGCTAAAATCTTGGCTTCAGAGCAGCACCTGTCACAGCACTGTTGAAAAAATGTGTGTTGCTGTTTTGTAGATGTTTAACGGTACTAAGTCTGTCTTTTAAAATACAATGTGCTAGTGACAGACCTACTTTTAGTAGAAGTCACCATTAAGTAAGTAGCAATGGAGTGGTAAGGTAACTTTAGTATACTTGTTTTTCCAGAAAAGAGGTCTCTTCCTTTTTCAAATACACACAAGTGTTTTAAATAATATGCTGTCCATATAACTAACCTTAGGTAAAATAAAATGCATGTTATCCCATTTATTAGATTTTTGTGCTATCACTCACTGCTTTTGCGCAGCCAGTGTTCAGTGCTGTATGACTAAATTCCTTGTATCATCTTTGTATTTGACAGGTCAATATATGTTCTGTTGAAATAGAAAGGGAGGAAAGTGTGGGGGGTGGTTGTTCCAGAATTAAATAAGAACCTTGCAGAGACTTAGCTTAGCTTGCTTTTCTGTGCAAGATATAAAATAAAGATATTTTTAAGGAAACTTCAACTAGGTGGTTTTCCTCATTTTGTAAGAGAGAGGTGGAAAAATAATTACCTTGAAATGAAAAAAAAAAAAAAAAAATCCATGAAAGTCCTGTCCTGTTTCATTTGGGGTGCTGTAGAACAACAAAAATACCACGTCAGGTAAAACTTGTAAGCCCAGAAATAAATAAAATAAGAGCATCAGTCATTTCTATCACTGGGGAACTTTCTTCATCTAAGCACATATGAACAATTGATCCTTGTAGTCATATATAGCAGTAAACATTAATAACTTAACAGTCTGAAGTCAGTGCTGAAGATATGGAGCATTATTGAAAGATGGAGTCGAGCAGGTGGCACTTTAATATGTTCAGTGTCATGGCTGACTCTAAAGACTAGTAGAATGAAATTACTTGAGGTTCTAAAGATTTAAAAAGCGAACTCATTTTGCTGCACTAAGGAAATGCTACTGATCAGGCTTTCTGTGTCCCTTTTTTCTAGGCTAGAAAATATTAACCCTGAAGAAAATGACATGGTAAGCCATTCTCTGAGGAGATTTCTTGATGTCAGTCTTATATCTTAGAGGCTTAAGTTCAATTGAGTGGGTTTCAAGAACTAAGATGTGGGAAAAAGAAGAATTGACACACTAATAATGTACATCTTTGCTGCAGTATGAAAATTCAATAACTTCACTCAGTCAATTTACAATTCACATGTGCCTATTAATTAAAACCCTATATTAAATAAAATATATTAAAACTTCATGTCTGACTAACATATAATGCTGCTGGTAGACATTACAGGAATTACTGAACAGAATAAACAATGCAGACACAGGGATAGATATACTGAAGAATGGAGCTATAATTCTGAATCGAATACACAAGACCAAAGAACGTAAAAAGAAAATAATAGCTGAAGAAATGAATGCAGTAATAGAACAACGGGATGCTGCTTTGTCTCAAGTAAGTCTCTACAAGTATATAATCACTCCATACCAAATTCTTTTTTTCTTTTTTCTTTTTTTTTTTACTTTATTTTTGGTGAAGAAAATTATTTCATTTACTTTTCTCTGTTGAAAATGTCAAAGAGAGCCCAAGCAGTAAATGAGTGATTAATGATCAACTGTTGCTTTATGATAGTAGTATCCATTGAAATGCCATCAATGCATTTAATGAGAAAAGTTATTAATTATTTTTGTAATTTTTGCACCTGTTCACTAGCTGTCCCCTTTTTTAAAAAAAATATTTTTCAGTGTATTGACCAATCTAAAAAGGTAAGAGCTCAGTTTTGCTGTATGCTGTATTGGTATAATGCATTGGATGACAGTAAACAGGGACTCAAGAATTTGTAAAGGGTTATAAGTGGCAGAAATATACATTAAAGTAAGATAACAGTACCACATGCAACAATGCAGGCAATTCCTCCCTTTGTTGCTTTGCATTCAGGAGATAAAAATCAGCCTGTGGTCCTTGACTCTCCAAGTCTTGTGCTTCTGATACATGACTTGAAAGAATCCAAGGTCCTTTTTTCTTCTCAGTTCACTTATTCCCGGCAATTTCCTATTTTCTCAAAACATTATTGTCTTCATTCTCTTTACCATATGAAGAGTCTCCTTGCTTTTCCCATCTCATGAAAGAGTTTTTCTGTTGTGTTTTTTTTTTCCCCTACAGTTTTCTTTCTTGGGTTTTAACCTAGATTTAGCTCAATAGGGACAGGCTGTAGGGAGGAGCAGTCCAAGTAAGGGATATATCTCCTGGGAGAACACAAGATTTTAGACTGGATGAAAGTCCTTATGTATTCATCCCAGGCAAGAAATTTCATCTGACTCTTCCAATACTGAAAATTTAGATTTTTCATGTGAGTTACCAGTGTTAGCCCACATCTAACTAATTTTATTAGATTTAAAGTCAGGTTTGTGATCTTGAGTGTATTGGTAATGTTGATGGAATTTATGTTGTATTGAGAAGTCTTCTGGTAAAAGAGCCCTTTTTACATACGCTGTAATTTTCACTTTTTTTACAGTCATTGTTTTTGCATTCTCTCCTACTTTAACCTTGACAGCCTCATCTGCCTGATGCTTAAAGTATTTTGTGTGTCTATCCAGTATGCACTGCAAAGCCTGTTAATGTTGGAAGATGTTAATGGTGGAACTTTACTTTTTCAGTCTACTTTCCTTTGCTTTTATAATAATGATGAACAGTGTAGCAACTGGGAAATATCCAACAGTCCTGCCAAAAGTTTATCTTCTTTGCACAGGGCATCTGACAATTGAGCATCTTATAAGAGAAAGCTTTCAGCAAAAGAGAAGGATCTTCTGATATTTTAATTTTTGTTTTGTCAGTTTTTGCTTCTTTGTTGAAGTGGACTTTCAGACATACTTGGACCATTAAACTTTTATAAAAGGCAGAAGAATGTTATTGTAGGGTATTTTGATATACATTTCAATTTAATTGATTTTTAAGCTGCCTGGGTAAGGAATAATCTTTTCCAAGTAGTCAGCTTGGAAATTAATAAAGATAATTATTTTATATAGTAATGGCTCAAGTGCCACAACTAGCAAAGCCATCTTTAGGCCTGTCAGCAAAAAGTACAGGTAATGTTAAATAGATAGTGCAACCAAAAAAGTAAATTAATAAAAATCCCCACCAAATGAAAATTTAAACATTTGGTATTAGCTGTGCTACTGTGATACCACTTGCAATTTATAATACTATTGGTTTAAATTAATTATTATTAATAGAACTCTATTGATCATGTGTTGTGTTTTCACATATGTGACGCTTTTACAGCTGTAACTCTTGAATCTAGAAAATAGGTCCTTGGAGTTGAAGCTACCATTTCAACCTGCATTTCTCACTTGATGATTCCTTGGGAATTCATACTGTACTTGAATTATTAGTAGTCTTTTGTTAACAAGCGATAGTGATAGTTATTACAGTGCTAACAGCAGGAACAATAAGAAAGGGATTCCTACATTAGACCACAAAGGGACTGGATATAATTCAGGGGATGTATATGCTTAGCATAACAAATGCAAATTATTGAAAGTTAGATCTAGGGCCGCCTCAGGCATTCATAACATCTGCAAGTTAAGGTCTTTTTCATTTTGATGGAGGTGACATCATATATGAGGGGAGGGGGTTGATGAGAACAAGCTAAAACAAAGCAAGAAGAGAGTAAACCATTAGCGTGCTGTGGCTATCCTCTGGAAAAGGCATTTTGAAAATTCAGAGGTCACTGGGCAGTGGAAGCTAAATGCTTCATGACACATTGTGTGAATAACATGTTGCTCTGTTCCCACTTGCTGTTGTGTGGTGCTGGAGACAGCAATGTCATTTGAGTGACCACCATAAACGGTTCCATAGGACAGAGAACTGCCTGTATGGTAATAAGGGTTTGGACTGACTGTGTTTAATGGAGCTGCATCTGTTATCCTTCTTTATTATTTTCTTCACAATAACCTGGCATTTGACAACTGAACACAGTGAATATAAGCAGTATTTGGCTTTTTGGATTTTACTTGTAGGATTTCTGATTTTTTCCAGTAAGAAACAATAACACAAAAGCCTTCACAGCTCAAACACATTGCTTTGATTTCAAGTAAGGAATAGGTTACATTCCTAGAGAATGGACATTCTATAAACCGTACATTTCTTGTGACCAAGTAAATACAGATGCTTTCAGATACTCTTTGAAATGCAGTATGGCAGTGCTTTTGCTGCTAAGGTTTAACTGGGCTGCTATTGCAGCATACTTGACAGTGGTTAGCTAGTTGTGATTCTTCTATTTTGAATTTTACTTGAATATTTTTTTTATTCTTCAAAAAATGAAGAGCACTCTCCATGTCTTGGAAAGGTCATGAAAATGGGTTTTTTTGAGCTGTAACACCTGAGAACATCTGCATATTTTTTTGGAGATTTCAAATGTGAATGTCACTTCTTACTAGGAAGCAGATAGAGGCACTTCTGTCACTGTATTGAGCTGTGCATGTGTATGTAATCTTAGATCATTCACTAGATTGCTGAGCAAATATGCAAACTACTTTTTTGTATGTGTGAAAACAAATAAAATGGTATAAACTCAAATATTTGATACTACTTTTAGTATGTATTTTCAAGTGAATAGAAAACAAACAAGTAAAGCGTGGCTAAACATTGACATCCATCTTCTCCTGTACCAACCCCCTTAAAAAAACAAACTCAACTGTTTGGTTGTATTTGCTAAGATATGTTTGTTAGTGAACAGATATTGTGTTATACTGGGGAGCTTGAGTCTGGTTTATGACTGATCCTCTGAAAGGAAAATGGAGAAAGATGCTGACTGTCATGAGAAATAAAACATCAGTTTCTTTGCTGTAAGGTTGTTTTGTCTTAACCTGTTCAAGGAAAAACCTTATTTGTCCAGTTGGTTGTACCACAGCTCTGCCTTTCTTCAAAAATCTTTCTTGCTTGGGTAATCCAATTAGTGACAGAAATTAAATAAAATTTACATATGGCATAGTCACATTGTGTGATCTTCATAAAATACTTTAGAGAAGTGATTTCCAGCAGGAGGCAATACAGTGCAATGTCTCAAACTAGCAACTACCTATTAACCATATCACACCTTATCGACAGGAATGTTAATATGATTACAGGGTTGGCAGCTGAAGTTGAGGACTTGAGTAAGTCATTACAATTACTTTTCTTCTGGTTTAGAAAAGAAAGAGGACCTTTTAATTGGCACAGCTTGAAGGAAGTTTTTTTTTAAAGCTAAATAAGAGGTGACTTATAGTTCAGGAGATCGTGTGTTTGATATGTTTTCAGTCCTAACTTTCAGTCTGTAAATGTTTTTTTTTTTCATTGTGAACAGTCAGTTCTATGCAGAGTTTTCAATAGTAAAGGTGTAGAATTTGTTGCTAAGGGAAAACAGTGGATTCATGGCTGGCAAAGTAGCCTCTGTAATACACTGATCTTGAAGCAATAACATAACTGGCAAGCAAACCTGGTTTTACAGCTTTGAATAGTTTGATCACATCCTGCTGTGCAGGAACATGCTTATGACTGTTCATGTAAATAATTGGCATGCACCCAGTTGCTCATCTGAAGCAAGTTGGAGTACCTTTCTCCATTTTGAGGCACTGTTTGGCAGCAGGCAGCACTTTATCATCGTTGAAAACAAAGATGAGAAGCAGTATGCTTGACTGCCCATCATTATCAGTTTCGACTAATGACTAATAAATGATAAATGTCTGTACAATAAGCCAGCTTCTTGCTAACTTCTTTTTTTATGTTCTCCTCAAGCAATTTCCCTCCTTTTACACCAAATAAGGTGTAGAGCTCTGTGTTATCTGTGATTCACAGAGTATTAAGGCATTCTCAGCACACATGAGTGAACAGGTCTTTTGAAGTAATAACCCTGAGAGCTGTCTGAAGTGTAAAAACAACAAAAGCATATGTAAATGAAAAAAATATTACTTACAGATCTTGGGGCGTTAGTTGGGGAATACTCAGGTGACAGGTTACAATGCGTCATAACTCTCTTATCTTAGGACAGAAGTAATCCGTTTGCAACTCAAACCACAGTCTGGGAGGTTGTTTTTAGTAATTTGAATTAGCAGCTCTGTGTTTTGGTCCCCTTTGACACTTCCTGGTTAAGGATACCGATCTAGTTCTTGGTTGGCAGGAGCACATTTGACAGTGTCCTCTTAGCTGCTCTGCCAGGATGCTTTCCATGCTACCTTTTCCCTTTTGCCACTGATATTTGGGAACAGGAAAATAAAATGTTGGACACTGTATTCACAGTTATTTGTGAACCAGGCAGCTGCTGTGGAGTACTAGTGATTTTGGTCAAGGGCTTATTTGGGGAGGGAAGTGAAGGTAAAGGGGATGTTTATTGTAATCTGAGGATCTAAGCACCATGCTAGTTCACTCTTATGGCTGGTTTCCTTTGGGCAGGCAACAGCAAGTTCCTGTTGCCCTCA